TGCTACAGAACTGCTCCAAGTGCTATGGAGCTCGTTCAGGTGCTACAGACTGGTCCAGGTGCACTGGTGCAAGTGCTATACAACTGGTTCGCCTGCGATCGCATTCGTCCAAGGGCTGAAGCATCACACTGATCACGGGCTATATATATCCTGATACCATAGCAATGCTATATAACTGGTCCAAGTGCTAGCTATATATAACTGGTCCAAGTGCTATATATATTGTCACACTGTAAATCAGAGCGTGAAGGCGGAAAAAAGCAAAACAAGGAAAGGGAAAGAAGGAAGGAAGGAAAGCCCCACCTGTTCATCACCTCTTACGTACAAGGCCAGCCACAAGTGCTATATATAAATGGTCCAAGTGCTAAGAATACACAGCTGATCCATGTCCTGCAGAACTGGCCCTAGTGAGATGGTGCGTTAGTGCAACAGAACGGATTAACTATAGACATCAGTCATCATTGAAGCAATTATACTACGGGCTCAGCATGCACTATGGGTCATAGAATTTTTCCATTATATGGGACAAGCTAAGTCAGCGCTATGTTCATGGTAAGTAAGAATGAATCTTGCCATATTTTGAGACCAGGTTCAAGCGTTTTGACCACGGACACTGAGTGATCATCTATTGCTAAGAAAGCGGATGGCAGAATGAATTGAGGAAAAGCAAAAGAAGATTTTTTTTTTTTTCCGTCAATCCCGCTTGCATTGAAATTGCTACTGTCTTCCCCTGTAATAGAACGTGCGGCCATTATCGCTGCATCTAGACCAAAAGTTGCCCCAAATACAGCTATAATGACCCTAATTTCTATTCTGCGGAAGACGGTAGAACTCTAAGAAAAGGGCATAGCCATCTGACTATTTAAAAAAGGAATGGTCATCAAGAAACCCCAACCATGCATGCCTGGCTATCATGGGAAAATGAATGTCAGACCTCATCCACTGAAAAGAAGAGTATCAGAATCAATGTCAGGCCTAGGCTACCAGCCAGTCCGTCCGGGTCACCTTGTTTTCCCAAGGGGCCCGGCCGTGCAAGGACCAGGGAAGGTCCCAGCAATCAAAAAAAAAAAAAAAAAATCGAGAAAAAAACTATGCTATGCAGAAAAAAAAAAAAAAAACTGAACAACTTTTGCCTCATGGTCACATCCAAAATCTTTACCAAACTTAAAATAAAAATTAATCTTTTTTTTTCTTTTTATTTTAAGTGGTCCCAGGCCACTCTCGTAGACTGGTGAAAAATAAAATTAAAAAATAAATATTAAATCTCTTTCTTTTTTTTTTTCTTTTTTTTTTTTTTGCCCGAGCAAGTGGTCCCGGGCTCTGGTAGCCTAGTGTCAGGCCAACTTCACTGACAATATCCTGAAGCAAGTATGGTGTAAGAGAACAAGGATATCAGCAGCAAGGTGGATGGTCCTACCGTCTTCACCCAAATCGAACGACCCCGTCATTATATCTGTATTTTGGTGCAGTTTTTAGTCCAGATTACAGCGCTAATGACCGGGCGTTCTATTTGAGTGAAGACAGTGGCTCACCGAGAGAAGGTAGGTGCATTGATGAAAACGACAAAACAAAACAAACGCACAAGAAGCACAGCAATGCAAGGGGGCTATCCAACCCAACCTGGGTGATGGGTACACACATCTCACCGTCAGTAAACAACAGGTCCCGAGTTCGAGTCCTGCTGGATTGAGACAGATACAACAACGTTTGGCACTGACCCCTATTCAGAAACAAAAAAAGAAAAAGGGCAATGAATGGGCAAACAAGCCTACAACAGATGACAACTGGACATTTAATGATTGAACCAAAAAAAAAAGGTAAAGAAACCGATCACAACGGGGAAAAAAAAAAAAAAAAAGGGATCTCAAACGATCTCTACCGACAACTTTGGGACAACGTTCAAAATTGAAAACTGAAAAGTGCAAGGAACCCGACTGTTCATCACTTGCTGGAGCGCATCAGATCACATGCATATACACTGATTTCACAGATTACGAAGTCTCACACAAAACCCAATAGAAGATGAATGAGAACCAGGAAGCTCAACTCAATTATTAAACCCAGATTTAGAGAGAGAACATCATGAGCTCAAAATGTATAGCGCTGAACAGAGTTACAAGTCTTCTTCATTCAACATGAGTTCCAAGCCTGGCGCTCATCAGCGCCAGCTGCCAGATGTCAACAGCGCTCAACAGGTAAGTATCACCATAGCTCTCACTTCCCCCTCTCTCGTCTGCCTTCTTCTCTCTCTCCCTYTWTGTCTATAGTCCTGGTCTACCCTCACTCGTCATGCATGCACACTCCCTATCACACGAGGATCTACTCTGAATACTACTCACTGGTATCTCCTACTGACTATCCCTACTRACATACTAACYAGTGCTGGCGCRGCTATGGCTGCCTTCCCTCTAGCCAGCACTCTCTTCCTCCTTCCCACATAGCGCTGCTCTTCAGCCTAGCGCAGCTCACACACATCTAGCGCACAAGTGCCACGGCACTTCCACACTCTCATGCGAAGTGAGCATCTGTCCAGATGGGAGGCTGGCCGGTCCTTTATAGTGCTCGATTGGTCTGGCGTGGCCTGCATTCAGCCTCAAAGGTGCCTGGGACTCCTGCCCAGTACCGATTGTTGCAAAGTGTGTGTCCCAGTATCTTTTTTCCCATAGTCTGCTGCTACTTTGGGTCATCGGGCCTGTCTTTTGAACTCCTGGTCTGAATCAGGACTGACTCATGGGATTATGACTGGAGTGGGACTGTAGCCTTTGACTCATTGCCGAACAGACGTGACTTTTCAACGAGGAGACATGACCCTAACTCAGTCTTGAAAACTGTGTCCGATACCTGTTCGTGCAGGACCTGTTTGTGACTGTTCAAAATGACTTTTCATTTCATTATGGATGCGACATATGCCTCAGGGAACTTTGGCTTTTGAGTTGCTGCTCGTGAATTTAGTTCTGGCCGACAGAGCCCCTTGCTGTTGGGGTACTCATCTGGGGTCTAATCCGTAAAGGCCCTTTTAAAAGATATAGAGAAGACTTAAGGATACACACCTTACAAATCAAAAAAATGATCCAATTCTTTTGTTTTCTTTATAGGGAAAAAAGACAAGAAAAGAGAGGGCCAGGGGAGAGGGGGGAGGGTGAGATGGAATGGAAGATTTAGACCCACCTTCAGTCATGATTTTCGGATCCTTCGAGAGTAAACGTGCAGCAATCTTCTTTGTCTTATCCGACGCCTGCTCAACTAAGATAGCGGACATAAACGGTGTCTGCAGATTTTGTGATGCACTTTTCTCCCACTCTCTCCGCTGCCGCCCTTGTTGACCCACCTCATATTCCGCCAACATGTCATTACCACGCCCCTCTCCTTCACCCTGCCGGCTTCGAATTCCTCCATGTCCAACATCAGCAACAACCTTATCATCCTCCTTCTCCAGCTCTCCTTCTTCTTCTTCCTCTTCCTCCTCTTCCTCCTCTTCCTCCTCCTCTCCCTCCTCTTCCTCCTCGCCTTCCTCTTCACCACGATCATCACCACCGTCATCATTGTCCTCCTCATCATGACTACCCATATTGTGACCTTGATCTGTCCGACCAACATTTACGCCCTCGTCATCCTGCTCTTCCGCATCTTCACTCCTCCCACTCTCTTGCTTGTCATTTCCCGCCAACTTATCTATTCGTTCCTCTGTCTCATCGGCATTGCCAGTTTCTTTCCTGTGCTTCTTCATACTCTTAGACGACTGCTTATGTCCTTTCCCCATGATGTCGGTGCAAGCCTCTGCTGTCCGTCTGATGTATCACACGTGTCACCGATACCCTGCACACGTATCACAGATATGACTCAGGTAAGTCCTCTTAACTGTGGCATTACGAAAACGATGGAAAACGCAAAAAATGATTCACTGCCACCTAATCCAAAAATAATAAGCCAACAAGCAGTGTTCAAAGATGTTCACAAATGCACTGGGTATCCATTCATATGCACGTACGTGTACGCAGCACCAAAAACTACATAAGTGTACAGCGTACGGAATTTGGTCCCCCCCCCCCCTTCTTGGATTTGGCTACAAATTTCAAGATGGCTCTCAGCCCCCAAGAGTTTGTTTGAATTGCAAACGCTCCATAGCATGTTATTTTTCGAGAATTTTTTGAATTTTTTGAATTTTTTGAATTTTTTGAATTTTTTCCCTTTTTTATTTATTTTTTGAGAGGCGGTTAACGGAGGCCCTAATTTTCAGACAACTTGTCATGCCATTTATAACAAAATCCAAGGGTCATTTTAACCAAACCTGCAACCAAGTCATAGAGTAGAAACCATAGTTA